GCGTCGAAGCTGTAGTCAGCAGGCTTGGGAGAAAGTGGACATGGTGACGGGAGGCCTAGGTTAAGGAGCAGGGCCTGGCCCACAGGAAGAACAATTGTGGCAATAGCTGTTCCTTACTCCTCCCGAGCACGCACCAAGCAGGCCCGCAAGCTCCACACGATCGTGTGTTCTTCCTCAGCAAACGCTCCAAGAGGCTACAGCCACGATGCCTTTACTTTCGCTTTGCTTTAGTGTCACCGAGAGTTCAGAGCTAGACTGCCAGGGTTCGAATCCCAGTTCTACCACTTAGCCTGGGAGGGACCTTGGGGAAGTCACTCCACTTCTCCGTACCTCCACTTTCCTACCTGTAGGGTAGATGACTCCCCGGGTGTTTCAATTAGTTAAGCGCTCAACTTTGACCCCCAAAGTTGGTGGTTTGCCTCTACTTTGAGGTGCTTCAGAAGAAAGGCCTGGTGATCTACTTCCGAAAGGTAGAAAGACACACTGCCATCAAGTCCAGAGTGACTCAAGGTGACCCTATAGGAAGGAGTAGAACTGCACCTGGGGCTCCCAAGACTGTGAATCTTTAGGGGAGCAGAGAGTCTCATCTTTCTTCTGCAGAGCGGCTGGTGGATTTGAACTGACGGCACACACACACACACACACACACACACACACACACACACACACACGGTTGCCAGGAGTCAGAATCTGCTTGATGGCAGCTGGCTAGGGTTGAGATGATCATTAACAACAACAACAACAAATGTAAGTCCTAGATAGGATGTCCTACCAGATGTCATGATTATGTGGTGGGCAGCCAATAGTGGCTCTGTGAGAGAAAGAAGAGGCTTTCGCTTCAAGAGTGCCAGCCTTGGAAACTCACAGGGGCACTTCTACAACATCCTGCAGGCTCACTATCAGTGGGAACCGACTCGTAGGCAGTGAGCTTAACCTTTTGGGGAAAGTTTCCTAGGCTATCCATCTAGGCAACAGCCTCATCTTTTTCCCACAGAGAGGCTGGCGGGTTTGAACCGCCGTTCTTGTGATGAGCAGCCCAGCTTCATTGGAGTGGGCTGTGGTGAGGGTTTGAAGAGGTGAGGGTGTGGCATCAGGGGGCCATTGTCACCCCCTCCACGTGACAGATGAGCAAGGTGAGGCTCAAGGGGTGGTGACACAGCTGCTAGAGCTCATGTATCAGTGATTCTCAGCTTCTGAAACTCTGCAGCCCCACCTCCCAAACATGTGGGTGGGGATTCATTCTACAGAAAAACACGGGAGGTGAAGCTGAGCCAGGCAAAACCCTCCAGACTGGAGATTAGAGAGGACTTCCTGGAAGAAGTAAACTCGGAGAAAAATCCAGCATTTCCCGGCCTATCCCTAGCAACAGCTCCAAGAGGGATCAACCATGATGCCGGTACCTTTACTGTACCTTAGTGCCATCAAGAGTGAGGAGCGAGACTGCCGAGGTTTGAATCCCAGTTTTACCACGTAGCCTGGGGACGTTCCTCAACTTCTCTGAATCTCTGCACTGCAGAGGGCTCCCTGGGTGGCTCAAACAGTTACATGCTCCGCTGTCACCCAAGAGTTAGTGGTTTGACTTCGCCTAGAGGTGCATCCGAAGAAAGGCCTGGTGACCTACTTCCCCAAAGTAGACAAACAGAACATTGCTATCAGGCCCATTCTGACTCAAAGCGACCCGAGGGAAATAAGAGTAAAACTCTTGTAGGGTGAATAGGCCTGCTCAGAGAGGAGCAGAAGGAAGGGCCTTCTTGGTAGAGGAGACAGCCTGGACCAAGATGGGAGGAGTCGCTGTGTGTGTAAGACACTTCTCTGATCTCTCTTCTCATGATTGGACCCACCTGAGCCGAAGGACGGTCTGCTGTTTTCTTTGGATTACCCACGTTCTAGTTGAATGGGCTTACACGTGCCTGCCTTTCGCTTGGCCTGTCCCTTCACATGCATCTTGCCATAATCCTGACCCGTGTTCCTCCGTTGGGATGTTTCCGCGTCCCCCGTGACTCCTTCAGCAACTTTTTCGGTCTCCTAGTGGTAAGGCCACACCCAAAATCCCCGGCTTTGATGGAAGGCAACGGAGAAAAAGGAGGGGTTCGGTTGACCAAATGTTGGTTTCCAAACACCCTGACCCATCCCCACTAGGGATAATCCCTCTGCAGAAGAATAAGGGCAAAGATGAAGTGAGAGAAACGGGCATTAGTTGCTGGGGAGCAAGAAGAGCAACGAAGAAGATGAGTAGCTGCAAAGAGTCCATGGTTCTGTCATCGGTCGCAACGCCATTGGGGAAGCGTGGGCGCTGCTTCTCCCATTGCTCAACCTGCCTTTCCTTTGCCCTCACCTGGCTGATGCTCTTCACCGAGGCCAACCAAACCACCTTTTTCCCCGAAGGGATCTGAATCCTCAGGGGTCCTGTCTTTGATGATGATGATGATGATGATGCTTTTGGTATGGATGCGTTGTAAGAGGAACCCAGAGAATGCCTTGAATTGCAGACATGACCTTCCATGGCCCCACTTCATAACACTAGCCCCCAATTCCCTTGGAAGTTGAGATGAATAACCCCAGCAAACAGAGTGATCCTCTTCTTTGGGACTTGGTTCGGTGGGCCTGAGAAAGTGGCCAGGTGGCTGTCTCAACACCCATCTCCATGGAATCCACGATCATGTCTTCTGACAGAAGCAATCTTCTCTTGGGAATCAAGTCTTCCAAACCAGCAGAGCTCAACGGTGTGGGGATGGGAAGCAGAGGATGTGAGTGGGTGTTAGGTATGAATATGCTCCTGAGAAAAAAATCTCCCATCACTTGGTACCCAGGCCCATGGATTCAGGCAATGAGGGGAGACATCAATGCAGAGTGGTCATGGATGCCAAGTATCTCCTGCATCCCATAAGACAGACATTCATCCTTTTAGGATGTAGAGTCCCCACTCGCCCCCAAAGGGAGTCATGCCAATGTTTTACCCAGTGACCTGCTCCTAGGTAGTGGAGTGTGAGGTAAGGTCAATGGAAATCACTGGCACGGCCTCATCGCCATCCTGGAGTCACCATGTCATGGGCTTCCTGGCCGGATGTGGTGCTGTGTGGAAAGCATGGCCCGGAAGGGGACACTTTATAACCCAAAGGAAGGACTTCAGTGTGTGATAAGAGGCCTGAGCAGAGCACGTATCTATACGGAGAATCACTTCAAGCATATGAGTCTTAGATATGAAGCTGTCAGGTGCTAGGGAAGCAGTGATCAATTTGCCAAACTTGGGTTTGTACATATCAATATGGTGGTGTGGTGGGTCACACGTTGCGCTACTCACTACAAGGGCAGTTCAATGCTCATCAAGATAAAGATGAGGCTGTCTGCTCCCATAAAGATTGTCAGCCTTGAAACTGTTCTAGCCTCTCCTGTCTGGTTCCTATGACGCAGAATCAACCAGATGACAATGGGTAAAGAAAATATTCAATCACTCATTGAAGATTCTCTTCCATTCCCAGCCTGGGCACTGAGCTCTGAGACTATGGAGGTGAGTCCTGGCCCCAGAGGGCTCCCTCCCAATCTGATGGAAGAGGCAGGTGCACCCTCAGATAAACACTGGTCGAGGGGAGACATGCAGAGGCAGGTGGAGCCAGAAGTGGAGTAGGCAGACATTGGAGCTGGTTCTATTAGGGGAGCTTCCCGGTGGACCAAGAAGGGGCCAGAATTCCCGACAGAGATGCCGATGCAAAAGGCATATCAAGAGGGAGTCATCACCTATTTTTGACTTGTTCTTCTGCGTCATTCTGGAGACCCCTTTCTGAGGGTTTCCATCTATGAGGGACACAAGGGAGTCCAGATGGCCACCCCCTGCAGTCACAGGAAACTGGGCTAGAGAAGCAGGCCCAAGAGGTGGCGGAGAGACCTCTGATTGAGGGTGTGGTGTCGGGGGAACCTTCCAAGAGGATGTAGTTTGTGTCAGGTCCTGAAGGATGCGGATGAGATAACCATCTTCCAGGCAGTGGGGACAGCTCATGCCAAGACCTTTAGGAAGCATTTATTCAATGGCAAGGAGACATGGAATCCACATTTTCAGAAAGCAGGAAATGGAAAATGCAACCTATAATTAAATGAGACAGTGTCTGGGATTTGCATAAAATCATACAGGAAGTAAGGAAATGGGTGTCGGCACAGATGAGACATCATTGACCATAGGTTGGTGCTGGGTCAGTTTAAATGATGGGTTCAGGAAGGTTTATTATACTCTTCACGTCTCTGGGTGTGAAGTTTTCCATAGCCTTAGCTAGATAGGACGTTGTTGTTGAGCGTCATCCAGCCGGCCCTGTGAACCTTGCCTGGTCCTGCCCCGTCCTCACACACATCGAGCTGCTTGATTTCTGGATTGTGACTTCCACAGATATTGATGGTGGATCCAAGTAAACAGAACCTTTGGCAATGTCTAGCTGTTCTCCTTTTATCGTGCTGTTGCTCGCCTGGGCAGGTTTCCCCAGCGAAAACCTACCCTGCAGTATTTCAACTCAAAGCTTGGATACGCCTTCAGGTCTTTCCGCTTATGGGTTTTCTACCTCCAGGGCTGTGCACATGTCACCATAATCCTTAGTCTCCGTGAGCCACCCTTTGCAGTCTTGTCGGAAGCTCTTTTACTTTATCTTCCCCCCAAGCCTCACCCACACACCATCACCACCACACCACCCCCCCAGCCTTCACTTTAGCTACTCCATGTTCAAGAGCAGATTTCAGAGCCTCTTCTGTCATCCATGTTCATGGTTTCTTTCTTTCCTGTCTTTATCATGG